CATCCCTTCCCTTAAGCAAGGGCAGCGTGACACCTGGCACTCACTGTGCCTGCCCACCGCAGGCCCTATGTAAGAATACTGTCAAAGGGATGAGTGACCTGGAAACAGGTCATCATGGAAAGGCGGAGTAGTGACCAGGGATGACAGTAATGGAGGAGAACGCACCTGGTCTGAAACCGCGGTTTCACCTGGGGACATAGGGACACCTTCACCTTCCCCCAAACCCTCCCTTCCCCTGAACCTACATTGGGAAAATCCAGGCCCAGCTTGAATTTTTCCTTCAGCCACTGGCTTCTGTCATAGTCAGGAGCTGTGGTGGAGAACATGAGTGAAAACAAACCTCCCCAGAGTCCAACCCTCCTTCCCGGGGACCCTCCCAGGGAGTCAGAGGCAAAACCCCCTCAGACAGCTGAATCTAGAATCTGAACCACTTCCTCCCCATTACAAAGGTGAGGGGTGGGGTGCAGAATGCTCCTAAAGGCTCTGCACTCTATCCCACTAAGGCTTCCACGGACAAATTCTAAGGGGCAACCCAGCCAACCACCTACACCAGGGCCCAGCAATCCCCTCCCAGTGTCCTGTCAGAAGACCTGACTGTCCCAACAAAGGGCTTTAGGGAAGGCCAGGCTGCAGCTCCAGCAGGTGCACAGGGAGCCACAGGTGGCCGTGGCATGGGCTGCCTGATATCAACTTAGCACACTTGGACGGACCGAGGTCCGGACTAGAGGTTGCCATACCGTCCCCCATTACGTAAATCTTCTCCTCATAGCTGGAGTCTGTGTATTCCAGGAGCAGGCGGGTGGCGTGAGCCAGCTGGGAGAGATGGCCCAGGTCAGAGATGGAGGATCTCCGATTCGTGACTTCACCTGCGCTACGTGACCCCCCACCCTACACCTCCCTGCACCGGTCCAGTACGGGCACGTGCAGGCCCTTGTGAGAGGGACCTGCAGCGGTTCCAGTACCCTGTAGTGCCACCATCCCCAGAACCCCAGGTGCTCCATTCTTCCCAGCCGCTGTGCCCCGGTACCACCTCCCAGGCGGACCCTCGCTCACCCCGCGGATGTCCCAGTAACCCAGTATCATCGGCATGGTGCAGGAAGCCGTGGACTCAGCAGACAAACCTCAGCGTAGCTGGACTGCAACTTCACCGAAGTTTGTAGCAGCGCAAGGCGGGGCCTGACTTCGGTCTCGCCCTCCCGGACCCGCCCCCCTAGAGGCGGGGCCTGTCTCCGGACATCACGGGCTGGGAGGAGTTGGATCAGCTGCCGCCTCTTGGAGGTACTTTGCTCATCCCAAGTATCAGGGTTCTGGGAGCAAATTCTGGGCGCCCAGCAGACCAAGACGCAGGTCAGGCTCAGCTGTTCCCAGGCTCCGCGGCCATCCAGACCTCTGCTAGGTGTTAGGGCATGACAGTGTACTTTGGAGAAAGTCAGACTCTAAAACAGCAAAGCTCTTCCGCTTTCTCCTTCCCTCCTGGCTTCATTGAGCTTCTTGGCTGTGGAGTCCCGTGGTCTCTGGCAGTCTCTGGCAGGGTCTTGCAGGCTCCGGCTGTCAGAGTAGTCCATACAGGGTGCCCTCCCC